GGAGAAATGGTCCCCACTGTGACCCCAGCACATAGTACGCACTCAAGAATGTTTGTCAAATGAATCCATGATTCAGGATGCCTCAGAGGAACAGCAGGGGCTTTATTCCCACAAGCCTTGCCCCTCTCCAGACACCCCAGCCCCATCCAAGCCCCCCATCCCAGCCTCTTGAGGATCACTCCAGTGTGTGATAGGCAGAGGATGACCTTCAGCTCACAAGCCCCTGAAGGAGGAACACACACAAGAGGTTGTTCAGGCACCAGTGGGCTTTGCAGCAGGGGCCTGCCCTGCTTGGGAGGGCAATCCCCCCAGCCTGGCCTCCCCCCAACCCCATGGATACCTCATCCAGCTTCTGGAACTCAGACACGCCTTTGTGGCAGCACCTCACGGCCATTATCACACATCAGATGAGCAAAACACACACCAGCAGACACACGGCCACCACCACACCTGGGTTCCTGTGCAACTTGGGGGCTCCAGTGTCACCTGGAGGGGAGCTCTGAGTCAGCCCTAGACCCCATCCCTTCTAAGGCTGAGACACCCACCAGGGCCCAGTGCCTTTTAAGTCCCCTCTCAGGAAGCTGTGCTTAATTCCCTCTCCAGTCTCTGCTGTAACCATTTTTTCAAGCACATTTTTATTCTTTTACTTTTGTTTTTCTTTTCCTTTCTTTTCTTTTTTCTTTTGAATATATTTTTCTACAAGCAATCAATTTTGTTCACTGTGTTTCCACAGCCATTGTTGGCCACTTCTGGGAGTTCTTGCAAAGTGAAAAAAATAATCCAACCTAGAACTCTGTTCCCAAATGCAGCGACTTTCTGAGGATACGTGCAAAATTTGACACTTCGTGAAGATGGTTTATATCCTGTGACTTTAAGCAAAATGTTATTACGCTTCGTGTTTGCATTCTTCTTTGCATGTTTTGGAGACAATGTATTATTTTGAATGACAGATTTTTCTAGACCCTCTGAAAATGCTTGGCCTCTATTGGATCCCTGGGGCCCTGTATGATCACACCCTGCAACTTCCTCACCCTCACTGCTCCCCACTAGTACCCCCACTCGCCCCATTCCAGCCATCTCACTCTTCTTCAGATGCACCAGGCGCAGTCCTACCTCAGGGCCTTTGCACTTGCTGTGCTCACTGCCTGGGCTGTTCTCTCCCTAGCTACCTGCGTGGTTCCCTCCTTTGCCTCCTTCAAACCAAGACCTTGGCTGAATAGTCTTTAAAAATTTCAAAACCTTTGCACTCACGTTCCAACCCCTTATCCTGCTCTACTTTGTTCTTTTATAAACAAATATGTAATTTACTTATAACCTGTCTCCCAACATAACTGTGTCTCACAGGACCCGACACAGGATAGGTGCTTAATAAAACGTGCTTGGAATGAAGAAGGTCTGAAGAGGTTTAGGTGATGCTGGGGTGGGAGAAGAGGTCCTTCGCAGCATATTCTTAGGACTGTGTCTCCCCCTGGTGGCCAATCTCAGAACTGCACCCTGGTATCCGCAACCATCCCCCATCTGCCCAAATGTCCCAATACTCACCAAGGTCAGAGGCCACGGATGTCCCGTCAGTGGTGGCCGAGGACACGGAGGAAGGCACCGTGCTGGGATTGGGGTGAGTGGGGCTCCGATGCAGGGTGGTCAAGGAGATGGAACTCAGGGGGCTAGAGTGGGAGGTGACGGTGTGCTCTGAACTGGGAGAGCCGGAGCTGGAGTGGGTGACTGTCTCTCTGCTTGTGAGGAGATGGGCTGCATGGTGGAGGTTGCCCCTGAATTTGAGGGGGTTATGGAACCTGCCTCTGAACTAGGGGTGCTAGGGTGAGGGGGTGGAGCCTGTCTCTGGGCTCTCTTGGCTGTTGTGGTTTTCCACTGAAGTAGGGGAGGGGTGGCTGGAGGGAGAAGTCAGAGATTAGGAAGTCAAGTTCTCCATCTCTGAGACTGTAACACCTGAAAAGAAAACACCATTGGGGCGCAGGGAGAAGATAATTAGGAACAAGGGCTTGTGACCCTGGCCCAGACTCCCCTCTGGATGCCTCTTTCCCTATTATGTCAGGTAGACGACACCCACGACTTAGGGACACTTGGAGGATTTAGTGCACCACGTGAGTGCTTAGTGGGAAACTGAGGTGCCCTTGTCTGAATTTCCTTATCTGAACTCCCACAGCCAGGGTTCCAGTTCAGGGTGGACCCTCCCTGCCCCTGACTCTTGCTTCAGGGGTCTAGAAACCTCTGGATATGGGGAATGGCTGCAACCCAAGCAGCATGCTGAGCAGCTCTTTTAAAACTTCTGGGACTCAGATTCCTTGTCTGTAAAATTGACATCACAGGAAGTCAGAGTCCCTGAGAGCTCACGCAGGTCTGGTACAAGGTGATGTTTGACGGCAGAGATCTACCTCTGAGCTCCCAAGGAGGATCAGCCCTAATCTGCTTCCCCAGGTACCTGGAAAGTCCCCATGGCTAAACTCAGAGTTTTATTGGGGGTACAGAGGCCTGGGCTCTAAGACTCTGGAACCCCCACTACCTTGCTCCAGGTGCTCCCCAGCTTCTACCCCATCCTAGACACGGAGCCCAGAGGCCAGGCTGAGGGTAGGTAAAGATTTCATGGGCTGCCCCCCCCCACACACAATTACTTCCTTCCCAGTTCCAGGCTGCTGGGCACCTGAACTGCTTGCAAGTTCATTCATCAACCACTCCCTGCCCCCACCCCATCCACTCTGCCCTGGACCAATCTTTGTGCTTCCTCCCCTGCCTCACCCCAAGCAGCAGAAATGCAGAAATAATATCTGGCACTGGCCCCAGGAGGGGGCAGGGTCCACATGCAGACCCTGTTTCTCTGTCCGGTTTCCCAGGCCCCACGGGGATGACAGGTGAGTCTAGAAGAGGCATGGTGCGCTGGCCTGACTTCATCCCCATTTTATTGGTGGGGAACTGAGGCTCAGAATTGTAGAGAGTCTGGCCCCAGGTGACTGGAAAGTGGAAAGAAGGCCCCTCAGAGACCTCCAAGGAGTCAAGGACTAAGAGTTCAGCCTCCCCAAAATGCCTCCCACCATTATTTGAGGAAGAATACAGATGAGAAGAGTTATCTGCTGAAATGAAGATGACTCAGGGGCCACAGTGGACCCCAAGCCAAGCTAGACCTCTGAGGAGTTGAACTTCTAAAGCAAACTGAGGAAAACTAGTGGGCCTGCAAGGAGGAGGTTGTTGAGGACATAAACTCTACTGAGTGCCTGGCGCAGAGCAGACACTCATGAGCGGCTGGAGAGTTGACCAGAAGGTAAAATGGGGCTGTTTCTATGCACTGTGCCAGGAGTTTGCTTTGCCCAGAGACTCCTGAACCAGGAGACTGGCATGAGCCAAGTCAGCTGGTTCGAATCTGGGTCTGGCACAGGCTGGGAGACTCGGCTTGCCTGAGCCTCAGTTTCCAGAGCTATGAAATGGGGATAAATGTGGTGCCTTCTGAGTGAAGCCCTTGTCTGCTATAAGAGTCTCACGTGTGGTGGCCTCCACTCTGATATTCCAGGTTTGGGGCTGGGACATGGGTCAGAGAGAGCGATGACTTCTCCACCCTGGGAACTGTCTTATAGGGGAGCAGAAAGAAATTGTCAGGCGCCAAGAACTTCTTCTGGGAGCCATAGATGCTCAGTGACCAGGAAGTGAGCCCTTCTCCCGCCCGCACCCCCATGGTCCTGGGGACCTCACACTTCTCCCTTTGGGGTCTGCCTAAGAAAAACTGAGATTTGAAACGGAACCTCAAACTGGGTATGAGGCATTCACCAGCCTCTCGCTGGCTCAGGCTATGCTGGGGTGGCAGAACTGGCAGCCTCGGGGCTGGGGGTGGGGGTGGAAGGGTGGTGGTGCTTCCACTGTTCTCACGACCTCCCCACCTTGCTTCTGGGAGAAGGAGCAGCCCTTCTGGGGGGAGGGATGGAGTGCCAGAGCAGCGTGGCCTAAGGGAGGAATCCAGATGCCGGGTGTGTGGCTAGGCCATATGCCCCCTCCAGCTTCCTGGAAGCTGGATCTCCTTCTTACCTGTTCTTACCTGTAGAGGTGACACTGGCAGTTCCGGAACCCCCACCAGGTTTCAGCAGCAGCAACAGAAGCGGCTGCGGCAGCTGGGAGCCCGCCATTCCTGCGTGGGGAGGGGGGACTGCGGGCTCCGCGCAGGTGTGTGGCCAGGTGCCTGCTCTTTACATCTGTGCACTCCCCTGCTGGCGGCGCGCGGAGCTGCTCAGGGGTGAGGCGGAGGCGGGGCTTCCGGACGCAGGGCCTCTGGGGGGCGCTACGGTTCACCAGGGGTGACATTCCTGACCCCCTCTCCACTTGGACCCCTCCACCTCTCCTAACAAACCCTCCTGATTCATGACCCTGAAGCCTTTACACTCTGCCTATCCCCTCAGGACACCCTCTGCCCCTTCTAGTTCCCCCTGGAGCCCCCATCTCTCTGTGCCCCCTCTATGGCTGCCCCAAACCCACGCTGTCACCCCCCTCTACCCCTCCTCTTGGCCAGGCTGCCCCCTCTCTCCCTCTCTGCCCTGTCCCTGATCCCACCAGTGGGAATGTCTGTGTACGGCTCTCTCTCACCCAGATTGGGGCCCCTTGGGGCTGGGCCCAGCATCCCCCCAAATCTGGATGTGGCTGGAACCCTCTAGTAGTTCCTGAATGAGGCACCCATGCATGCACCTGTAGGATTTTCCAGGGCCAAGGGACTCATGGTGGCCATTCTAGGCCAGGTCCCCAGACACTGGCTTCTGGAGTACCTCCATCTGGAACCGACGATGCTGCCCTGCTAGCCGTGGATGAATATGATGGTACGTATGAGGCCACGCTGGCAGCCCTGACCTCCGGGAAAGGCTTGGGGTCCCCATCCCAGCCACAGACCCTAGGTGCCAACTGCATGGTTGGAAGTTTTGGGCCCCTCCTGTTCAGGATGTTCCAGATCCCTCTCATTTTCCCTCGCACCATGCCTGAGACACCCCCGTAAGCATAGGTAGACCAGGACCCAGACTGTGGAGGGCTTTATTCATTAGAACCAAAGAGCCACATGGCTCCTCCCCTGGTGTTCCCCCACTGGTAAGCCAAGGTCCTAGACACCTGGCCATTGCACGTGCTGTGAGTTGTCCCACGCCGCTGGTCCCAAGAGCGCATCCGTGGTGAGAGAGGCCCGGGTGCAATGGCCGCGCCAGGTGGCTTGAAGCATCTTGGCTGCTAACTGCTGCTGCTTCAGCTGGCAGCGTACAGCGAAGCCCCTCCAGGCTGACTGGATGGCCGTGGCTGCCTTGCTCTGGTGATGGGGTTGCCAGGGGCTCTGGGGGTTTGACCGGGTGATGCAGCCCCGTGGCATGCCGGCCTGGCCTGCAGCACCCTGGCCCGTGCCATGCAGCACCCGGGTGGGCAGGGTATGGCCGCATATGTGGCATGTGCGGGAGCTGGAACCCACAAGCATCACCACGATGGGTGGGCTCCCCAGCCCGGAGCTCAGTGACTGGCAGAGACTACAGACACGTGGGTGGCAGGACTGGAAGCAGTGGTGATCAGACGTGGTCCTGGCCCCGCTGCCCGTCTCAGCCCACATGCCTGGGAGCAGCATTTGCTGGGTGCAGCTCCGGCGGATGCAGAAGCCTCGCCATGCAGCCTGGATGACTGTGGCGGCTCTGCAGAGCCGGGCCAGGTCCCGCCGTGCACGGTAGCCACGCCAGGCAGCCTGGATGGTGATGGCCCACTGATGCCACACCTTGATGGTACGGCGCACCAGGAAGCCACGTGTACACGCCTGGATGATGACCACCGCATGGATGATTATCTCCTCCACAGCCTGCGCCGACGACGTCACCAGCTCCCCCGGCTGTCTGGGATCCACTGCCACCATGACATCCCACGCGCCACCAGGGGCCGCAGTGCCGTTTCTGGGCCCGACCGCTACACTGGGGACGGCAGAGTTCCACACTTGGCTGCCAGACACGCCATTGTCCTCAGGACCCTGGAGTAGAGCGGGAGTCAGGGACGCCCCGTGACTGTCTGCAGGAGCCACGGAGCTAAGGGAATTCCGAGACACCAGAGGCGACTCCTGGTTAAAAAGGGGCCGCCGGGAACCACTCGGTGAAGACTCATAACCCAGAGACACCCTCCGAACCCCCGGATTCAGCCTAGGGAAGACCATCCGTTGTGCCACCTCCCCAGTGTGGATTGTTGGCGCTATGGCCAGCGGTGCACCTGTGAGGACCTGGGGGCATCCTTCTGCTCCTGATGGGCGGGGCCAAGTCCCAGCCACAGAATTGTCCGGCATTTGTGGGAAAGGGACATCATGCGTGGCCCTGAAGGATTTTCTAGGGCCAAGGAACTCATGGCCATCCTGAATCAGACCCCCGGACACTGGCTTCTGGAGCGCGCTGGATGCCACCCCTCTAACCAGGGGTGGATGCAGTGGCACATGGGAGGCCACGCTGGTGGCCCCTGACTTCCGGGAAGTGCTTGGGGGTCCCCATCCCAGCCACAGACCCTGGGTGTAAACCGGTTGCCATAGTACTGCCATGGGCCAGCTTGGGTGACCCTGAGATGACAGTAGAAGCCATCGTCCCATGGGAATGGCTCCGGGACATGTGAGCCACCGAGGGGCTCTGGGGCATAATGTGAGCCTCCAAAGCCTTTTGATAAGCCGAGGGGCTCTGGGGCACAACATAAACCATGGAGGGGCTCCGGGGTACAGTGTGAGACACTGATGTCTGTTGATGAGCCAAAGTGCCCTTGACAGACCCTGTCTGCGCACCGGGGACCCCACCAGCAGCCACAAGGTGGGAACTGGGGGCCCCCCAATTGCTGGCTGACCTCTGATGCAGAGTTGGGGTGCCACCACGGGCCATGGAGTGCTTGGCAAAACTCGGGGACTGTAGAGGGACAGAGGCCATGCCACTGGTCATAGACATAGCTTAGCTGGGAGCCACCTCCTCCAAGAGCGACATTTGGTCTTTGGGAAGAGTCTCGTCCTCTGCAGGGGACTCTTGACTGTGGTCGATGTCAGTTGCCAGGGGACTAGGGGACATCCACGGGGTTGCCTCAAGGACCTCGGACTCCCAGTTGGATATGGACCCCTGGGGCAAAGTCTTGTCCAGGTCCTCTGGCTTTATCACAGTCTGGTGGCCTGTGGTCTCAAACGGCATCATCCCAAGAGCTTGGCTCAACTGTGAGGCTCTTTGCAGAGCCGTAGGCACTTGGTACACTCCCTTGGCTGTGCCATTAGCTTCCTGGAGATGAGCTTGAGCCAGGCCAGGGGTACGGGATGCCTGGAAGGAGGCTGTGGACGCTTCTCCCGCCAGGGCTCCGTGATATTTGACGAGGAGAGATCCCAATCAGCATGGACCCTTGGGGCAGGCTCTGGGCCACGCCTCCAACTGTGGAGGGTGGACCAGCTGTACTAGCCATGGACTCCAGAACTAGGTTCTGATCCAGTCCCCCAGCCATAGATGCTGGGTCCACACTAGAGGCCACAGAACAAGGAGGGATACTTGAGCCCACCCCACTTGCCGCTGAACCTAGGAGCAGGCTTGGAGCAGTTAGACTAGCTGAGGGTCTTACAGAGAGACCTTGCCTCTTCCCACCAGCACCGGATGCTGCATTCAGGCTGGGGGACACTGCAGTTGTGACAGAACTCAGAGGCAGGGTTCTGGTCATGCCACTGGCCCCAGAACCTGGAGGAAGGCCCTGACTCATGCCACTGATCACAGACCCTGGGGAAAGGCCCTGGCCCATGCCACTGATCACGGACCCTGGGGAAAGGCCCTGGCCCGTGCCACTGATCACGGACCCTGGGGAAAGGCCCTGGCCCGTGCCACTGATCACGGACCCTGGGGAAAGGCCCTGGCCCATGCCACTGATCACGGACCCTGGGGAAAGGCCCTGGCCCATGCCATTGATTATGGACCCTGGGGAAAGGCCCTGGCCCATGCCACTGATCACGAACCCTGGGGGAAGGGTCTGAACCACACCACTGACCATATAACCTGGTGGAAGGCTGGGGCCACACAACTCATCATGGACCCTTGAGGAAGGCTCTGGCCCACACCCCTGATCATGGACCCTGGGGAAAGACTAGGGGTCATACCACCGGCCCTAGTACCTGGGGCCACAGCTGTGGTCATCCTACTGGCTACAGAACCTGGCACCACACCACTGGCCATGCCCATCCCAGGCTCCTGGCTGACAGCATCTGCTTGTTGGTAACTGGATTTGGAGATTGTGAACACAGAAGGATACTGTTGGTCCAAAGATATTGGGAGATCGACATTGACCTGAGATATGCCAGGGCCCACATTGGTGAGGGAAAACTTGGATGAACTCACATCCAATCCACCGGGCACTGAAGCTGGAGAGAAGCCAGGTCCCGCCTCTGAGGCTGGTTCATGAATCAAGGGGGCACCAGCCACAGAGGCCCAGGGATGTAATGGGGGCCATGCCCCCGGTCACTTGAGATTGGCTTGGGCCCATACCAGTCACCACACTTCTCCACCCCATACTCCCTGACATGCCAGGGGATACAGGTACCCGAGACATACTTAGGAACATACCAGCAGCCAAGGTCCCCGGAGGCACGTTTGGAAGCATGCCAGCAGCCATGGTGCCCTGGGACATGCTTGTAGCCATGCCCCTGAACAGAATCCCCTGAGATATACTAGTTCCCTGGCCCAGACAAGAGTCCTCTCCACTGGCCACAGATGCCTGGTAGAGACTTGGAGCTGAAACAGTGACAGCAGACTGTTCAGTTATGCTTGGGTGCCTCCCACTAATACTGGATGGCTGATGAAACCCAAGGGCCACCTTGCTGAACTCAGGGGCCTGGGGATTTGGGGTCACCCCACTAACCATCAGAGGATCTTGACATGGGTCCACCCTAGTAGACACAGTTGGCTGGCTCAGACCCCGGCCCATGCTGTTAGCCACTGATGGATACGGTGCACACGAGGTGACTTCAATGGCAAAAGATGAATGACGCTGACTGGGAGCCACTGCATTCACCCTTGATGAGAGTAGACTTGAACCCACGCTACGGGCCCAACTTGGCTGACAGAGTGCACAACCCATGCCACTAATCACAGATGGCTGGGCCAGGCTGGGCATCCCCCTACTTGCCACAGATGGCTGGGCCAGGCTGGAGAACACCACACCAGCCATAGATGGCTGGCCTAGGCTGGGGGCCACCACAGAAGCCACAGGAGGTTGGCCTAAGCTAGGAGCCATCCCACTGGCGAAGGATGGCTGGGCTAGGCAGGGGTTTACTCCAATGGTCAAAGATGGCTGGCCTAGGCTAGGGGCCACCCCAATGGTCATAGGTGACTGGGCTAGACTGGGGGCCACCCCACCAACCCTACATGTCTGGCCTAGGCTGGGGGTCATCCCATCAGTCATAGGTGGCTGGCTTGGGCTAGGGGCCCTGCCACAAGTCACAGGCAGCTGGGCTAAGCTGGGGGCCACCCCACTGATCACAGGTGGCTGCGCAATGCCGGGTGCCACCCTGGTGGTCATAGATGGCTGGGCTAGGCTCAGGGCCACCCCACTGGTCACAGGTGTCTGGGCAAGGCTGGCGGTCACCCCACTGGTCACACGTGGCTGAGGTAGGCTGGGGGTCCCCCCACAAGTCACAGGCAGCTGGGCTAAGCTAGGGGCCACCCCACTGTTCACAGGTGGCTGGGCAAGGCTGGGGGCCACCCCAGTGGTCATAGATGGCCGGGTTAGGCCCAGGGCCACCCCACCAGTCACAGGTGGTTGGGCTAAGCTGGGGGCCACCACACCGGCCATGGATGGCTGGGCTAGGCTGAGAGCCACCCTACAGGCCATTAATGGCTGTGCAAAGCTGGGGACCACCCCATCAGTCACCAATGGCTGAGCTAGGCTAGGGGCCACCCTATTGGTCCTGGATGTCTGGCTTAGGGTGGGAGTCATCTTACTGGCCACAGATGGCTCAGATAGGCTGGCGATCACTCTACTGGCCATAGAGAGCTGGTCTGGGTCTGGGGAGACCTTACTGGCTACTGTAGGCTGGGATAGGCATGGGGTCAACCTACCGGCCACAGATGGCCACCAATAGACCATAGGGACCACATTACTCAAAGGCAGACTTCTGGTCAACCCAGTCCTGTAGGGTTTCTGGGACAATCCTTCAGATTCATGGAGCTTTGGCCTGAGGACATATCTCCCGCATCATCTGAGCCCCAGGGGACACTCAAGGTCACGCGACTGGCCACTGAACTGTGATGCAGAATGGGGATCAGTTCTGAGGCTGCAGGAGACTGGTCGTGGAGGTTTGGGGTCATGTGCCTACGGCCTGCTCTCTCAGTCTCTTCCATGTTCCCAGGCCCCTGGGACCTCTCCACAGGCACCCCAGAGAGGAGAGGATCTAGATGAAGCTCCCTGTCCAAGCTGGCTTCCCAGGACTACTCCCCCACCAGGTCAACAGCGGTCATGCTGGCCACAGACTTGGTGGAAAGGCTGAGTGAACTGCAGCTGCGCGGTGAGCTCTGGGAATTGCTCACATTGGGGCCATAGTCTGTGGAGCCCTGGGAGAAGCTTCTGGCCAGGTCACTGTCTGGACCCTGTGGCAAAGTGGGCACCAGTTCATTAAGTATATGGCTAGTCACCAGCTCCTGTGGGCAGTGAACACTGGAAATGGTGCCCCGTGTTTGATTTTTCTCCTGCCCAGGGATGGCTGTACGGGGAAGGGTGGGCGCCAGCCTACTGCCTGGGGAGGCTTGGAACAGACTGGGATCAGCCTGAGTCTTGAGGGCCCAGCGATGACCAGGAGCCATGGAGCCGGGCCAGAGATCTGGGGTTATGACACAGGCCTTGGGGGCCTGTGGTTGTGCTTTGCTCACCATGGAGGCATGTGGTGGACTTGGGGTCACCTTGTTGGTCATCTCCCTAGTGCCCACGGAGGCTCGTTTATGATCTGGGGACCGAGTTCTCTGCATGGTCTCCTCGGGGACCATAGATGGCTGTTGTGGACCTCTGGCCACTGAGGGTCGACACACACCGGGAGGTACCCTGCTGACCCCGGAGGGATGACACCCGCAAGCCGACCCCGCATAGGCGGCGGCACACTGGTAGGAGTGGGTGTCCCTCCCACGACCTGTAGTGCTGGGAAGCTTGCCCGGTGCCACTACCCTGCCCTCCCCCGACGACACCCATGGACGTGGGGCCGCCCTGCTGACCTCGTGTGGATTGTGGGCGCTTGGGGTCATGCTGCCACTGGCCAATGATGGCCGGCTCATGCTTGGGTTCACGCCGTTGGCAATGAGTGGCTGCCATAGACTGGGGGGTGGCTGCTGGTGGGGCGAGTTGGGCAAATTGGGGTCCACATCACTCACCATGGGACTGAGATCTGAGGCCAGTTCACTAGCCCTTGGGTGCAGGCACACATTTGCCTCACGGACCTTAGGGGTCAGGTACAGATTTAGGGTGTCTCTGCTGGGTCCCATCTCCTGTGACAGAGTGGGGTCCAGGGCAGCAATCAGGGGATACTGATGAATGGTCAAGGGGTCAAGGAGTCCAGCAGTCAAGGAGGCACCCACAGAGACCACCGATGAGCAGGGTGACCCCCCGAGCATGGCTCCATCCCCCACCTCTTCCAAGAGCCTGGAGGGCCAGCCTGTGATGAAACCCTCCGAGGCCCCACCCCAGTGAACCCTGACCTTGCTGGGCTGTAATCTCATGGGGCCCAGGGTGGGACCCCATGCAGCCAACGGGCTCCCCCTACAGTCCACCTCCACTGGGGTCGGCATCACAGTCACCCCGCTTCCCGCCGTTTTCACGGCAGCCTTGGGGAGGACGACTCCAGACCTCAGGGCCACCTGAGAAAAAGACTGGCTGAGGACTGCGCCCAGCTCACCCTGACACAGGGCCTGGTTCAAGGTGGCCCGCTCCCCCTCCATCAGGGCCTTGCTGAGCACGTCCGCCAGTCTGCCCTGAATGGCCTTAGTGAGCTCTGCCCACAGCTCACCCCGGGCCAGGGCGCAGGACAGGCTGGCGGCCAGCTTGCCCCAGGACAGCGCCTTCACCAGCGCCGTGCCCAGGATGCCCTGGGGCAGGGCCTTGGCCATCGTGGCTCCCGAGACCTCTTTGGACAGGGCCGCCCTCACTTCCCCCTGGGAGAGGGCTTTTGCCAGCAGGGCGCGGAGGTTCTCCTGGGAGCCCAGCAGGGCAGCCAGCTCAGCACATAGGGAAGCGAGCTGGGAGGCTGCCAGCTCCTCCTGGCAGGGCGGGGCGGGGCTGGGCTGCTTGTTGACAGCTGGGCCCTGTCCCCCCAGGATTCGACATTGCATGTGGTGTGTCCAGCAGAGGCCAGCAGAGGCACCAGCGTGTTCTGGCTCTCAGAGGCCCCCTGGCGTGGGCCCTGGGTGGCCTTGCCCTGCACGTAGCTGTGGGACAGGAGCTGGGTCAATCTGTCCTCTGGCTTGGCTCGGGGCAGAGCGCCAATGTGCTGGCAGGGCTGGGTGGAGGCCTTGAACTCGACTAGGAGTGGCTGGGACTGGGTCTTGCTGCTGAGCTCGGCGGCCTGCCGGGCTGCATGGAAGCTCTTGGCTGTTTCTGTGGCCAGATGTGTCTGGGACTGTGCCTGGGTCAGCTCGGTGGGCAGATGTGCCTGGGACTGCACCTTGGACAGATGTGATTGGGCTAGGGCTGTGGTCAGCTCAGGGGGTGGATGTCCTTGGGACGGGCCCTTGGTCAGCTTGGTAGAAACATGTGCCTAGGACGGGGGTTTGGTCAGCTCGGCCAGCAGACGTGCCTGGGGCAAGCCTGTGGTTGAACACGGGGCCGGTACCCAGATGTGCCACAGCTGTTTCTATAGGCTCACATACCTGGGATAGGGCCTTCACGACATCCGTCCTCAGGTGTGCCTGCTTGCTCCCGTCCTCCGCCACTTTTGACCAGGACGAAACCACGGGCACTTCCATGGCCTCACTGATGTTAGGTGCTGTTTCTGTTTTCACCCGTTTCTGGGAGAAGTCCTTGATTTTCTCACCTTCCGAAGGAGGCCTGGCTGTAGCCTTGGGATCCCCAGCCCCCAGATGTGATGGGGGGAAGCATTTCATTTTTCCCTTAGTCAAGTACGAGTGGGGTGAGACCGTGGTCACCCCTGCTGCCTGCCTCGCGTTCACCACAGCCTTGGCCTTTGGTCCACTTAGACACGTGTGGGATGAGGTGTCGGGAATTCCAGCTGCCGCCAATGCTGAAGATGGAGGTTTGAGATTTCCAGCTGCTGGAGGGGGCAGGCACAGGGTCCTGAGGATGGCGGCTACCGAGCGTAACTGAGCTGGGGTCTTGGTTACCATGGCCGCCAGGCGTGTCTGGGCAGGAGGACCTTTGGTCACCGAGACGCCTTGGAGTGTCTGATGAGATGGGGTCTTGGTCATCGTGGCTGCAGGGCGTGTCTGCGTTGGAGACTTGAACATTGAGGGCAACAGGCATAACTGGGGTGGAGTCTTGGCCATCATGGCTGCTGGTCGTGTCCGGGGTGAAGTGTTGGTCATCGAGGCTGATGGTCTCATTTGAACTGAGGTCTTGGTCACCGGGGTCGCTGGGCAGGGCTGGGGTGGGGTTTTGGTTATTGTTATCGCGGGCACTGGGCACGGCTGGGATTGGATCTTGTTCATCGTGGCCGCTAGGCATGACTGGAGTGGGGTCTTGGTCACTGTGGCTTGTGGGCACGTCTGGGCTGGGGTCTTGGTTATCATAGGTGCTGGGCCTGTCTGTGGTGGCCCTTCGAGGACCTCTGCTTCCATGTGGGCCTGGGTCTGGCTCTTGAGCTGTCCTTGAACTGCCTGGGCACATCTTCCGGATGGTGGTGGCCCCGGGGCTCCTGCCTTGTTAGCTTTGGCGGTTACTTGCTTGGTCTTCATCGTGTCCCCCTCTCCGTGGACAAGGCAGGCATTTCTGACAGTTCTTGTCAGCAGGCATGGGCGGCACTTCGCCTCTGGACTCACAGGACACGGAAGTCTGATGGCAGCGGTCTGGTGTGGAAGGAAGGCGACGCTGGGGCCTCCGACAGAGCACGTACCCGGCTGTGACATGCCCTGGGACTGCAGCAAGGCCAGCTGGTGGGTACAAGCGGCCAGGCCGTTGGAGGAAGGAAACTGGGTCTCCTTGCTCACCAAGGTGGGCTGGGCCAGAAGGGACTTGCCCTCTTCCAGATGCTGGAACCGCACCTGCTGGGGCGAGTGGTAAGGGATGTCCCCCTCCTCCACCTTCGCTTTTTTCTCCACCGTCTTGCCAGACTGGAGGAGGCACCTGGTGTTGAAGCGTCGCCAGGCCTCCTGGATGGCCTTGGTCACCATTATCTGAGAGATTAGCTTCTGCCGGAGCCGGTAGCCCCTCCAGTTGGCTTGGATGAGGGTGGCTGCATGGGACAGCATCATGTCCATTTCGTCCACCAGGACATTCTTGAAGGCCTGGCTCTCCACCACAGCCCGGAGGCATGGGATATGATGAGCCACCGTCTTGTCCTTGTCTGGCTGTTGCAGAAGGGTCTCCTTGGATGCAGGTGGCTCATGCCGGGGCTGTGGATGCAGTGTCCCTGCTTTGCCTTGGAGACTGGGGACGGGCTGATAGGAGCTCTTCCCACTGGGTGACACCTGTAGCTGCAGACGCAGTGTCCCCACTTTGTCTTGAAGGTTGGGGACGGCTGATAGGAGCTCTGCCCACTGGGTGACACCTGTAGCTGTGTTGCTTGCTGCATTGTCTTGGTTCCTAGGCGGCTCAGCTCTGCCTGTGGGGGGTTATAGGGAAGTAAGTGGTCAGGGAGCAGTGTGATGTACACACGAGGCCTCCTGGCTGGGGCAGGCACTCACCCCAGAACCTACATCTTCTTGCTCCTGGCACCTTGCAATCTTCCTCCTCTCCTTTGCAGGCCCTCTCTCTCCCAGCCACATGCCCAGGTGGCCTTTGGTACCCATGTCTCCCTCATCATCCTATGGCTACTTCAACACCAGCACACAGGGCACGTTCTCACCTGAATGTCTGACCACCTATCTGCTTTTCGACCTTCTTCTGTATCTGGAACATACTGTGAGCACAGCACTGATCACAGTATTCTGGAAATATCCTGTTTGTGTGTGCGTGCGCCTGGTGTTATTATTTGCTTTTCTCCATCAACTGTGAATTCCTAGAGGGCGGGAACCAAGTCTGAGTCACTTCTGTGGCCCTATCTCAGTCACAGGGCTTGGCTCCGAGTTTTGAACAGGTATTGGCTGGGTGGCTAGCTTGACCAATAAATGAGTGGATGAGTGGACTGAAAGTTGGATGGATAGATGGTCTCATGGCTAGATACTGAATGGATAAATCAGTGGACGAATGAATGCTGGATGGGCTGGAGGAATGGATGAAGGGTAGGGTTGCAAATGGATGAGTAAATGAAGTTGACGAATGAATTGATGAACAGATAAGTAAATAAGGAAATGGACACATGGATGGGTGGATGAGTGAGTAAACAGATAAATGGATGGATGTGTGGGTGGATGGAGGAATGGATGGATGGAGGAATGGATGGATGGATAGATGAGTAGGTGGGTGGATGGATAGATGCGTGGATGGGTGGGTGGGTGGCGGGATATATGGATAGATGGAGGCAGGGAGGATAGATGGGTGGGCAGATGGATGGATGAAACCTGAGTAGATAAATGTGTGTGAATGAAGAAAGCTGAAGGAATTGGTAAAGAGATCAATGAATAGGAGGTGGACTGATGAATGGATGGATGGATCGGTGAATGAATGGGGGATAACGTAGATGATGGATAGATCAATGACAGATGGAAGGGTGGTAGAGGGAAGAATGAGGGGATGACTGGCTTTCACAAGTACTTTGACTACCTGCTGAAGACAGAACCAACTGACCTTCCTGATGACTCATGAGGAACCAGTCCTCAGTACAATCTAGCTCTCTCTTACTCATGAGCAGTTAGGGCTGTCTCCCAGTGGGAACGAGGCCAAGGCTGTCTTATCTTTAGGTTGTCTCAGTTTCATGGCAGAGCCTAGCCTAGGTTGGAGGCCTGGCACAGATCTTCACGCCACCTCCAGAATGGCGCTGGGATCTTTCTTGTCTCTGGATTTCAAGTGTTTCAATAGTACACTCAATTGTCTTTCAAGTTGCTGAGGTAAATGAAGTCTTTTTAAATGTTAATGTTAAGTAAATAAATAAATCTTAGTCCATCTGCTGTTCAAAAAAAAAGAAAAAGAAGTACTTTGATGCAGAGAGAGTTCAGACACTGTCAAGCAGCCCTGATGTATAACCTGGAGCATAAGACACTTACTTTGCAGAAGTACCCCCTTCTGGCTGGACCAGTCAGACTTCATACCTTGGAGGGTCACAGACCTGGAGGAAAAGCAGGAAGAGAAGGTGCAATCTCAGAAGCCAGCTTGCCAGAGGAAGCAGCCTTCATCCCTTCATCCCATGCATTGTGCAGCTACACTGCCCTGGGTTGGCTCTGTCCCCAAGACCAAAACGAAAAGAGATGTTAAAAGCAAAAAAACTAAATTCTTTTTTAAAAATACAACTTTTTTTTTTTTTTTCTCTTTGCAAATCTCGCTCATTCAGAGGTAAAACTAGAGAAATACCAGTTAGGCCAAAGGGTAGGATAAAGCCACCATCAAAAATTGGCACTTCTGGGGCTTCCCTGGTGGCGCAGTGGTTGAGAATCTGCCTGCTGATGCAGGGGACACGCGTTCGAGCCCTGGTCTGGGAGGATCCCACATGGTGCGGAGCAACTGGGCCCGTGAGCCACAACTACTGAGCCTGCGCGTCTGGAGCCTGTGCTCCGCAACAAGAGAGGCCGCCATAGTGAGAGGCCCGCACACCGCGATGAAGAGTGGCCCCCGCTTGCCACAACTAGAGAGAGCCCTCGCACAGAAACGAAGATGCAACACAGCAAAAATAAATAAATTAATTAATAAACTCCTACCCACAACATCTTTTTTAAAAAAAACAAAAACAAGGCACTTCTGGGCTTCCCTGGTGGCACAGTGGTTAAGAATCTGCCTGCCAATGCAGGAGACATGGGTTCGAGCCCTGGTCCGGGAAGATCCCACATGCCACGGAGCAACTAAGCCCATACGCCACAACTACTGAGTCTGCGCTCTAGAGCCCGTGAGCCACAACTACTGAGCCCGCATGCCACAGCTACTGAAGCCCGTGTGCCTAGAACCCATGCTCCACAACAAGAGAAGCCATCGCAGTGAGAAGCCTGCACACCGCAACAAAGAGTAGACCCCGCTTGCCACAACTAGAGAAAGCCCGTGTGCAGTAACTAAGACCCAATGCACCCAAAAATAAATAACTTAATTAATTTTTTTAAGAACTGGCACTTCTGCTACAATTGTCAGTGAATCTCCTCCATACACATGTTTTTGGATTTAAAAAAAAAAAAAGATGAATGTGCAAGGAAGTCTATTCCAGTGGGGTTTTTTTTTGAATTTTTATTGAAATATAGTTGATTTACAATGCTGTCTTAGTTTCAGGTGTATAGAGAAGTGATTCAGTTATACATACATAAATATATATACATATATATACATATATGTTCCTTTTTTACATTCTCTTCCGTTATAGGTTATTACAAGGTATTCAGTATAGTTCCCTGTGCTATACTGTAGGCCCTTGTTGGTTATCTATTTTACATATATCCAGTGTTATTTTGTACCTAAAAACAAAACTGGAAATAACCAAGAAGGTGATTGCTAGGGGGCAGTTACAAATGCATAAAGAAAAGTACTCAAGGATGTTCATCTCTATACTTTTTAGAAGAGTCAAAACTGGAAACAACCCAAATGGTGATTTAAATTAATCAATTGAATAGTCATACAGTGGTATACTATCCAGCCATTAGAAATGGTGTCCAGACCCACAAGAATGGCTAAAATTTAAAAGGTGAATATGTCACAACCACTTGCAGAAACGATCCATATCTTGAAGGGAACTCAACAATTCCACCCTGACAAATATACTCAAGAGGTCCAAGTGTTTATACTCACCCCAAACCAGAAAGCACCCAAATGCCCATCAACAGAATAATGAATATCAAGTGTATATTCATCAATATATTAATATGAACGAATAGGAATAGAAATACTGACTTATTTATACCCGTTCAACACATCAATGAGAATGAGGTCAGCACTATAGAGAAATCTCACATACATTGTTTTGAGTGAAAGAAGCTGAACATAAAAGAGGACAGATTGGTTATTCCAATTATAGGACATTTAAAAGGAACAGAAGAAATTAAGGTCTGCTATTAAAAGTCTGGACAGGGCTTCCCTGATGGCGCAGTGGTTGAGAGTCCGCCTGCCGATGCAGGGGACACGGGTTCGTGCCCCGGTCTGGGAAGATCCCACATGCCGCGGCGCGGCTGGGCCCGTGAGCCATGGCCGCTGAGCCTGCGCGTCCGGAGCCTGTGCTCTGCAACGGGAGAGGCCACAACAGTGAGAGGCCCGCGTAACGCAAAAAAAAAAAAAAAAAAAAGAGTAGCCCCCACTCACCACAACTAGAGAAAGCCCACGCACGGCAACGAAGACCCAACACAGCCTAAATTAATTAATTAATTTAAAAAATAATCATAAAAAATAAAAAATAGCCCAGGACTTCCCTGGTAGCGCAGTGGTTAAGAATTCGCCTGCTAATGCAGGGGACACTGGTTCAATCCCTGGTCCAGGAAGATCTCACATGCCATGGAGCAACTAAGCCCATTTGCCACAACTACTGAAGCCCGTGTGCCTAGAGACAATGCTCCGCAACAAGAGAAGCCGCCTCAATGAGAAGCCTGGGCACTGCAACGAAGAGTAGCCCCTGCTCACAGCAACTAGAGAAAGCCTGCATGCAGCAATGAAGACCCAACGCAGCCCAAAAAAAGGATATAGAAAAAATGAGGGAGTTTGGCCTTTTAGTCAAGGTGGCAGAATGATGTGATGTGGGAACCTGACCCCCTTCACTCCAACATAGAAATAACAGATAGAATATTTTAAAACAATGTTACCACATGGTGATCCTTTTTTAATGTATAGAAATATCAGATCACTACATTGTACGCCAGCAACTAATGTAGGTCAATTATACTGCAAAAACAAACAAACCAACCCATAGAAAAAGAGATCAGATTTGTGGTCACCAGAAGGGGTAGGGATGGGGGCAGGGGAATTGCATGAAGGCAGTCAAAAGGTACACACTTCCAGTTATAAGATAAATAAGTACTAGGGATATAATGTACAACATGATTAAAATAATTCAAACTGGGGCTTCCCTGGTGGCGCAGTGGTTGAGAGTTCGCCTGCCGATGCAGGGGACACGGGTTCGCGCCCCGGTCCGGGAAGATCCCACATGCCACGGAGCGGCTGGGCCCGTGAGCCATGGCCGCTGAGCCTGTGCGTCCGGAGCCTGTGCTCCTCAACGGGAGAGGCCACAACAGTGAGAGGCCCGCATACCGCAAAAAAATAATAAAATAAAATAATAATAATAATTCAAACTGCTGTATGTTATATATGCCATATGTTTGTTAAGAAAGTAAATTCTGAGTTATCATCACAAGGAAACAATTTTTTTCTTTTTCTTAAATTTTGTATCTATATGACATGATGAATGTTCACTAAACTTATTGCAGTCATCATTTTATGATATACCTAAGTCAAGTCATGCTGTACATACACCTTAAACTTATACAGTGCTGTATGTCAATTATATCTTAATACAACTGGGGAAAAACGTTTTTGAAAAAAGAAAAGAATGAGACTTCAAAAACAAACTCATAGAAAAAGTGAGAATAAAACCCTTGGAATTTCCTTTTTAAAAAAGAAAAAAAGGAAGGAAAAAAGGAAAATGTTACCACAATCTAGCTCTCACCAACAGATAAGATGCAAACATACTAAAAACGTGACCACTTATCAGAATAATAATACTATACCCAAGTGCTATTTATTCCAAAGATGTAAAAATAGTTCAATTTCTAAATATTCCCAAGGTAATTCATTACATCTAGAAATCCAGAAGATAGCCATATGATTTTTCAAAAAGGGCCAAAGCATTTTGGCCAAAGCATTTTATCAATTCCAATAGCTATTTCTAATAAACATTTTTAAAAATAGATAGGATAGTATCTAAAATTGGTAAGTCTAACTACAAAACCACAGCAAATGTCATTTTAAATGGTGAAATACTGAAGTCATTTTTGTTAAAGAAAGGAGAAAGATGTTGCCCCACCCTTGCTGCGGGTATCATTATTTTTGGTGGTTACAGCAAAAACAAGATGACAAGGACTTGAATAATCAGTGTAAATGTTTGAAAAGAAGAGCTCAGCAGGAATTGTCAACCTAGAAGACCCAAGAGATTCTAATTTTCTAATTTCCTAAGGCACATGGCTGCATACAAAAACCCATAGCTCTTCTGTATTTGAGGTAAAACCAGCTGGAAATGGAAATGAGAAAAAAATACTATTCATTCATAGTGATGTCCGAAACTATACAATTCAGGGAATTCCCTGGCGGTCCAGTAGTTCGGACTCCATGCTCTCACTGCTGAGGGCCCAGGTTCAATCCCTGGTCGGGGAACTAAGATCCCACACGCTGTGTGGTACGACCAAAATATATATATATGTGTGTATATATATATATATATATATATATATACATATATATACATATATATATATATACACAATTCATAGGAACAAATATTACACAAAAGCCAAAGGGGTTATATGAAGGCCAGGAAAAGAGACAAAAACCATCTGAAAGGTGTACCATGTGCTTAGGAAGAAAGAATTCCTATAAATTATTATACAATATCACAATTCATAGAGTGTAATTCATGCCCAATTAGAATCACAATGGGGAGTTTTTTGAACATGGAATGATTTCAATGTTCAGAAGGAAGAGTAAATGAGAGTAGCCAAGAAGATCATGAAGAAGAGTAGTCGGGACTTCCCTGGTGGCGCAGAGGTTAAGAATCTGCCTGCCAATGCAGGGGACATGAGTTCGAGCCCTGGTCCGGGAAGATCCCACATGCCACAGAGCAACTAAGCCCGTGCACTACAACTACTGAGCCTGTGCTCTACAGCCCGCGAGCCGCAACTGCTGAAGCCCTCACACTAGAGGCCGTGCTCTACAACAAGAGAAGCCACCGCAATGAGAAGCCCCCGCTCGCCACAAATAGAGAAAGGCCACGCGCAGCAACGAAGACCCAACGCAGCCAACAATAAATAAATAAATTTATATATTTAAAAAAAGTAGTAAAGAGGACTTTGACTTGCCAGATTATAGACATACTCAAAAGCCATCATAATCACAGTATGGTTCCCATCCAGGACTAGACAAAGAGACCAGTGTGAC